TGCAAACATCTTGACTCATTTGAATGAGAAATTGAAAAGGTCTTTATTTTTTAAATTCCATGTGTTCGCTCTAGAACTTAAATTAAATTTACTTTATCCTCCCTAGATGAGTGCATCGACTCTAAAATGAAAATGGGATTTTACACTACAGTTTAAATCTGTTATGTATTGTTCCCTGTGTTTGCCAAAAACATACCATGTCCATAAAATGTAATATATTTTGTTATAGAATGCAAGTGCAGCATTTTTAGAAGTTAAGCATTTTTTGTAAACAAGTTTTTATTCATTTTAAACTATCAAAATCACACATTGGACCTCAGACATCATGATTCCCCTCATCCCCAGTCATCAGCAGTATCCCTCTCCATGTTATCAGGCAAAATGCATTTTAAAATGCTGCACAGGACATATACATCATCACTTGTCATCATTATGCTGTGCCTTCATATCTTTTCTCTTTGTAATGTACTGTAATTTGCTGCATACATACCAAATGTGAGATTTATCACTTACTCACAATCAAAATGCCTTAAAAATAATATTTATTAAAATTATATTTTATTGTATTTATTACTTTTAAATCATTCTCTGTTGTACATTTATGCTCAAGTAAAATATATTTATATATATATATCATTTATATAATTATACATTTTCTCATAGTTCATAGTCTATAATTCAGTACATTTGATTTAATTTTTTTACATCATTACCTACAAAAGAAAGGTGGTAGTCAATCAATATTATATATAAAATCAATATTATATGTACCTATATATTATATGTACCTGGGTGAAGATTTGACTGCATTTGAGTAAAGCCATATACAAACTATACTAATCCAGAACCTTTTGAAAGTAATTTTGTGATGGAATTTGTTATATAATAAAGCATAACATTTCTGCCTGCTGTTTACAAATTCAGTGCCGTAAAAGAATATAGAGCAGAATCCCTTGAGCCTTTCTGTTCAATGCAATGAAATGAAAGAATATAGAATCCTGCAACCTTTTAACCCTGGTCTGATTAGCAGTGAAGTGCATGACAGATGATTTTGGAGTAATTCATCTGAAATTCATCTGAATTTCTGAAATCACAGGGCAAACACACCCACACTCACACCTAAAGCTAATTTCTAAGGAGCCAATTAACCTACCGGTATGTCTTTGGACTGTGGGAGGAAACATATAAACTCCATGCAGATAGCACCTCTGGCCCAGAACTCAACAAGGAGCCCCAGAACTGCAAGTCAGCAGTGCTAGCTGTTGTGTGACTGCGGCACCTCTGAGTAAATTGCATTGAATGAAAGAATCTATAAAATGGTTTAGATCCCAAAGGATCCAAAACTACTTTATCATACCTCTCATACTAATTTTATTGAAAGGGACTGCCAGGTTACGAAAAAAGAACTGAAGTGTGGTTGCATTCAAAATGTTGTATTCTAAAAGCCTGTTTATAGTAATCTCAAAGTAAAATGCTTTGACAAGAATATTAGTGTAGTATTCTTGAGGCTAGTTCTAGTTTACTCTTTTTTGTCAATTATACCTGTTACTGAAGAGCATTTTCTACAATTAGTTTTTTGAAGAGATAAATTGAATAGTGCATTTTAAACAAATGTAGCTTTTTTCTTTTTTTTTCTTTTAGAGCTGATTAATCTGTCTTAAACGGCTGGAATTTAAATGAACTACCTTTTGTTCAATACATTATAAATTAAGGAACAGATTAAGAGAATATCATTTTGTAGATATTTTCTGTGCTACATCTGTTCCCATAACATTGGAAGGCAAGTTAACACACACAAAGTGCTTTACAAATGTATTCACATTTTGTTGCTTTAAAGCTTGTAGCCATGACGTTTTGAAGTAGTAATATTTGTCACATACAAAATTTACTCAAAAAACAAAAAGAAAGAAGTATTTAAACCCTTTGCTGTGGCACAACTAATTTATTTAGGTGCCCAAAACTATATTACAAGTACCAACATTTGTTCAGTGGCCTTAGTCTGTGTCTAGCAAAAGTGGTTTACATAATCTGACAATACCTTAAGGTGCGAAGAAAGGCAGTGAAACAAAGATTCAACTATGAAGACAAAGAAGCTTCCAAAACTATTTAGGGGCACACAGACAATACCCAAATCAAGTTTCTCTCCAAACTGAGCAGCTGAGCCAAGCCAAAACTGTTGAGGGATACCACTGAAGGTCCAATGGTGAGTTTGAAAGTCAAGTGACTGAGATGAGAGAAAATGTCAATAGATCAACAATATCATAGTAACTCCACAAAGAGGGCTTGTACGGAACTGAAAAAAAACACATCTCAGATTCTACAAATCAACACTTCAAACACATGGCCAAAAGTTTTGTGGTCAGAGAAGATAAAGTTGGAACTCTTTGTGTTACATCTGATACAGACCCAACATAATGCATCATTCAGTCAACATCATCTCTACTATCCTGCCTCTCCCATGGAGTAGTAGTTGGAAGCTTGTCAAGGCTGTCCGAAACATCGACAGAACAAAGTACTGGCAAACCATACAAGAAAATCTTCTTTAGATGTAAAACTGGGAAAATTGATCAAAAACTGAACCTTATAGTATGACAATTATCCAAAATAGGAGTCCAAAGCTGCACTGGAAAGGCTTACGAATAAGAAGCTGTTCTTGAATGGCACAGTACCTATTTGAAGTCCCGACTTGAATCCTGTTCAGAAGACTAAAAACTGCTGTGCATAAGTAATCCTAAAGCAACTTGAGAGAGCTTAAGTAAGCCTTTCAAGAAGACTGGTCTGAAATGCTGGTATGAAAATGTGGGTGGGACTTGCCCAAAAAGACTTGCCCACTATAATTGCTGCTAAACAACTTCCACCAAATATTAATTTCACAAGCCTGAAAAGTTATGCAGTTAACATATTTCAGTTTTTCTCTCTTTAGTTTTTGCTGATATTTACTATAACTTGTCTTACCCTTACAAATGTTCGCATTGAGCTTTCAGGTTCAATTGAGGCAAATACCAAAAAGAAATGATCTGCAAAGCAAACGTTTGTTCATGTCTACAATAATTACAATTATTTACAGTTCTACAGCTTCCCTGCACAAAAAGCACAAAGAACGTAAATCATCCTTTAGCTTTAAATATATAAACAGTACTGAAAGATAAATCTATCTTACCATTAACATTACAAGTTTGTGCTCTAAGAATAGAATATTTTTTTAATACATTTTATAAAGATGTAAGAAAACTACAGCTGTCAGGGTCTGATCCCAATCACCTGTGGGCTCCAAACATACACTATGCCATTCACTTGACAGTGGGTATCTTCGCCTCGCCAACAGACCGGACTTCTGCCACAGAAGACATTTCAGAGAGTGGTGGCATCACTTCTGTAATGTTTCAAAGAAATGCTGCAGTGCCCCTTAACACTCCCCTGTTCCAGTGTACTTAAGTAGTGCAGTATAAAAGCAAAAAATAAATGCAGTAAATATACATAATACCAAGTGAATTTCCCAATAAACTTTCGAAAGGTTATGTATGCCATATCTAAAAATGACCAAACTGGAATACATCAAACCAAGAGTGATCACTGGGAAAAAATCAGTTTAATGATATTAGCAAAGGCATGGTTTCAATTAACTTTAGTAATTTAATACTGTTATCATGCTATACCAACCACATATCATGAAGTAAAAGAAAGGACTCAAAAGAACAAACACTAACCTGCTAGAAAAATTGAATGCCTGTAAAATCTTCATTTATGCATAAAACTATCTCCATGACATCCAAAAAACACATAACCTGCAGAGTGGTGATCTGTGTCTCCAACCTGTATACTAGGTTCAATGTTCAAAGGGCATGTGTGAGAATGATTTATATAAAGAATACCTTATTTTCACAGTTATCATTTAACATGAGCATTGCAAATCCTATAAAACAGAGGTTATATTTTATAATTGTATATATGTCTTTGTAAGTTAATGTTTGTCTAAATAAAGGCAATATTGATGGCTTCTATTTTAATATGAATCCCTTTCTTGTTATAAAAAGCTCTTTTGAAATAGCCAATTGTGTTTTTCTTGTCTTGGATCAGTGCTACAGTCTCTGCGACCTGTTATGGGAGAGAATGAGGAAGTGAAGTGTAGGCACAATTCCACAAACTTCAAGCCACTTGTCTTTTAACACAACACAGGCTCATGCTGGAGGAGATATTGGAGCTAAAATATAACAGAACTATGACAAGATCAATAGCAAAAATTTCCAAACCTTGTTTTGCAACGATGCTGGCGGCGCAATCTATGTAAACATCAAAATTAATTCTCCAGCGGTATAAATGATATATCCAAATCCATATCGTGGCACATATTTCTACTGGTATACCGTCTTTACCAGTTATACCGCCCATCCCTAACTTGTACCCATAATCACAGACCTTAATCTTTGTGTGAGCAAAAGCATTTACTGGTTAAGCCACTCAGAAGGCTCCTCAATCACTTTTAATACAATTTATGAATTAATGGACTGGAAACTTACCCTAAATATCAACTGATCTATGTGATGACTGATTCACAGAAAAAAATACATTTTATCTCTCTATTTTACCTATCATCACCTACAGAAGGTTAATCACATAAATTTGTAATTTCCATAATATACAAATATTCCAAAGCAAGCTAGTTTCTTCTAAGTATAAAACAATTTTTCAGTTAATACAAAAAAGAGAAAAAAGATATATTGACACAGGCATATAATTAAAAATGAAATGGCAAAAACAAAACAAAAATACCATGATTAACACCACTTTATTTTATTATCAATTTACATCTCTAATTAACAGGTTCCTCAAATAAAACTTAATTCATAACTGCAAATTTATATTACTTCAAATATTCACCGTCAGTTTGAACCAAATTTAAGATTAGTGAAGAAGATATGAAAAGAGCACTCTTTTGGCAAACCATTGTTTTTACATCAGGCAACCCACTTTCAATATGGAATTTTTACCATAAAACCTACCTTGAAATGCAGCTACATTCCGTGAAATTAAAAACTTTAAACTTGAGCTGGATGTCTGCAGCAAATGCTGGATATCATGTCTGGCTGCTACCTGGTATTTCTCTTCCATCTTTTTGGTACAGCATGTTACGTTCCTTGAAGTACATACCTGAAGATCTGAGCCTACAGAAAAAAAAGGAAATTATCCTGTCAGAAATACACAATAAGTAACAAAATCACAAATTGTGCAGTACAGCTGTGTATTTATGTGCATATTGATATAACACAGCCATGATTTGTCCCTAAATTCTAACCTAATTCTGAATTCTAACAATGATGAATAGAAATAAAGGTCATCATGCTTTAAGCAAAAGCATTAGTAACTGAATGTATGTTTTTATCTATATTGTCCATAAATTACTGAATTACACTGCTTCAGTTATGCACAGAGAACTAAACAAAAAGGAAAGGTAAAAGTACATTATTTATCAGAAAGTACTCCAGATAAACTGTTTTTTGGGAAAACTCTAATTCTGTTTATACTGCTTGTTTTGCCTACTTGTACACTGGCTGTCATGTACCAACATGTATGTCTCTTTATATTGTTCTGTTAATCAGCATTCTTTTCACTTCTGCAAAGATACACTAGATTTCCTACTCAAACCTTTCAACCATTCAAAAACACCTACCAGACAAGAGTACTATGTAATGGACACTAAAAACTTACAGACAAGCTAAGGCAAAGGTGATTATGAAGTGTTGCCTAATACATGATCAAAATCCCTATTTTACTGTTTAAAGTACTAGATTTTTATATGGTTATGCATGGCCGACACTCAACTAACAACTTGAAGTACAGAGTGGGCAGAATTAAATGTGATCTTCTCTCAAAATTCCTCACTAAATTGATTTAATCTAAACCATGAAGGACCACACTGAAAGAACGATTCATTAAATCTAAAGTCCTATTAAGTCCTTCACAACCAACAGTAGTACCGATCTGTCCAACATTTGCGCTTGCAGTGCCGGGCAAAACATTTCAGACCCTAGCACAATTTTCACATTTTGCTGCATTAAAGCTTGCAGTCATGACACTTTGAAGTAGTAATTAGAATCTGCTATATACAAAATCTACACTACACATTCAAAGCAAAAAGGAAAAAGAAAATAATGTGAAAGAAAAATAGAAAATACATTATTGCATAAGTAGTCATCTTTACATTAAATGGTCACAAACACAATATTTAATTAACATTGATTAATTCATTATTAACATAGTCTTTTTGGATATTATATAATACCTAATGATACCTAATCTGCTCTTAATTGTTCCTTTGCAGCGGACGCATGCTGGCACATCTATCCACCTGTAATATGTTGTGTTCATTTTAAAAGAAATGTTAAAACTTTCCAGATTACTCCATTATAACTTTAAGTCAAATATTTGTTAAGTCAGAGTTCACAATAATTGGTAAAGAAATCTGTAGAGGTAGTCTATACTGTAAGTTAAAATATAGTCACTAGTGGTAAAATGCTACAGTACATACTGTAAGTTACATACTGTAGAATTACTTAGAACTGAGGCTTAACAATGACAGAAGACCAAACATGAGGATTAGCCCAAAATCTGTTGGCAGTGTGCACAAGCCTAATATTAAAAAAGGAAACAACTGTCGTTGTTTTTTTTTAAATGGTGTTCTAATCAAATTGCGTGGCTCACGTTTTCAACAAATAGATAGATAGATAATACTTTATTAATCCCGTAGGGAAATTGACGACAAATAACATTCAAGCATGCTTAGGGTTATGTTAAAAAATGTTGGACAGGCCTGGTTTCCTGAAATTACGGCTAGCAAGTCTCCAGGAAGAGATCTCAGTGAGTCTGAAAGAGGGCAGAATCTTCAGTGACCAAGACAGCTCAGCTTGCCAATGTTTCACAAGCAACTGTACCTAAGGTGATGTCCACACAGAACTGTGAGGGAAAGACACCATCAGCAAAGGGCAAAAGTGCATGGACGTCCGACTCCAAGATCTTGATACCCATGCATTAATTGGAAGTGCACGGCAAAACTGGCAAACAGCTGCAGCTCAACTGATTAGAAATTTCAACCTGTTAGGAAACTAACCAGTTTCATCAAAAATGTTTTGCCAAGACCGCTACAGAGCAGGATATCATAGCTGTGCTGCAGTGCCAAAACCACTCACCACAACTGGCAAAGTACATTTGCGAGTCCAAGTGGTACAAACAGGATAGACAAGGAACTACCAAGCATTGAAGAATATGAAATGGTCAGATGAATCATTCTTCACCATGTTCTCAGCCAATGGAATACTGCATACAGCATGTGATGCCAACCTAAAGAACTCTATAGGCCACTTTCAGTTCCAATAATAAAGGGCTCTGGTGGTTCTCTTAGAAGACCAGAAGAAGAGTTAGAAAATCTTTTCTTTCCTGCAATGAAAGGTGTCTTCCAGACTTATCAGTTACTAGATCTGAACCTAATTAAGCATTTATGGGATATTAAGGAATAATGCCTGGGACCTAAGTTGATTGACTTTCTCATGGAATAACAGTACCAGATCGCCTCAGCAGAATTACAGATGCTAGTAAACTACTGTATGCCATAGCGCACATACTGTAGGTTATACTGGCAGCCTATTGGGTCCAATAATCTATTAAGTAACTTTACATTGGTATTTCCATATTTATGAACACACTGGAAAATTTATTGATTTATTTATTGATTTATTGAAAATCCTAGTATATTTGGACCTATAAAGACTTGTACCTGGCTAAAGAATCATCTGTAACACTGCCACTGGAACTTCAAGCAGAAAAATGATCATATGTGTAGAATCATAACTTTTTTATACAAAATATTAGGCTTAAAAAAAAGCCTACTCTTAAACTGCCACATTTAGACAGACAAGACAATGTTGTGAGGAAAATAAAGCATTGAGCCACAGCTGTGTCAGACTCCTGAGCTGTGTGGTTCACATGGCATTTGCTTGCAGGAAGAGCGGTCAAGCAGAGCCCATATTTCAGCTATATTTATAGAGTGGTCTAGTCTCCATCCAGCTGTAATAAACACATAATTACATATAAGGTTTTAATTAAGTCACAGATGTTTGCTTTTTCCATTTTACATACCTTTAAAAAAACTAAACAGAGCTGGATAACATATCCTAAAACACCAACTTACACAATAAACATGTCAGATATAACCCGTACTGTGATATACTTGTTGACATATTTGTCCTATTAATGAGGCATTTTAGCAGCACATTGTTCTGGTATTTAGGAATGTCGGAGAATGCTGAGCACTGAAAAGGATCCTCTGACATATACAGTATTTTAATTTATTTCACATTAAAAAGATTAATTAATTAATTTCAAATTAATCATTCTCTAAAACAGAAATCAACGATAAATGATTTTGAGATTATTGATCCTTTAAGTCATATTCTGATTATAAATTAGCACTATTTCTCAATTCAGTGTGTATAAATCACCATAAAACTCTCCAGTACCTAAAAATAAATACTCTCTTGTATGTAGTGTTACCGTGGGTGCAATGATGTTAAAGGATAACATCCCAAAATAAGCAGTCCTACCTGGTATTGCCATATAATGCACTAACAGAGATTTTCATCGCCTACTGTAGCATAAAGTGCCAAATTTGTGAGCTAAAACCTTAACAACTAGATTTTTTATTGCTCTGTATTGTGGTTTGTAAATTTACTCAAAATACTGTAACATCTCTCACATAGAAAATATTTATAGTGACATTTGAGAAATGGGTCAGTTGATCACATGATGAGAATATTTGGAGTCAGCTCACAGTAATTAATGTTAAAGAAGCCTAGGAGTTGGAAGGCAGCAATATTAATTTACAACAATTTATAAATAAGAATATAAATAAGAATTTATAAGAACAATAGAAAAGGAAAGTTTTCCTATACTTGAGACATTATATACAAATATCTACTCAAAAAGATCTCCAAAACATACACAACTCATCTGTGTCTGTGGAGAATCATCCAATTATAGCTTTGAACTTTAAACGTGTCTGTTTAATAACCATTAATTAACACGAAAGTCCCTACAAGGTTCCATGAAGGGTGTTATGCAATCTTTTTTGCCATTCAATTTCTTAAATATTTAGTAGTAAAACAAGTTTTCTCAGTCTGTTGAGAACAAATCTATTCATGCTACAGCATAAAGAATCATGGCAAACAATCGTATTGTTTTTCTTTTACTAAAGAATATTTCATCTCACCTTTTAAGAAAACATCACTTTTCAAACTAACAGCATTCACAGGTAGCATGACACTGAATACAGGTCAAAGATGTGCATTAGCAATGTAAAGTATTAGAGATCATCACCTTCTTGGACAGCAGTCTTAAAAGCTATATAGCTGCTCTTTGACAGAAATCTGAACAGCACATTCATCACTGTTATCCTCTGCTTCCTCAACTAAAACAAAACCATATATTATTAAACTAGAAGATTACGATTCCTCAAGACACTTTCCAGGGCCTGTGGGGTCACCGCCATATTATAACACTTATAACAGAGTCCCCATTCAGCAAAACACTGACTGAACTGGACTTTTGTTAATAATTTAGTCCTTCTCAATAGCATCATAACTCTTTAAAGCAAAACTATTACCGTATTAAGCACAGCTTACCACAAAAGCAGTTTGATATAAACAGAAAACTCCTTTTAAAGCCTGTTTAATCTGCCACTTTATAAATGAGATTTGAACAGTTAAAACAGAAACAACTTCAGCAATATCGTGAGCTAGAGAACTGTGAACTGGCTGTGTATAAGTACCAGGTCCTGTCCCACTATTTACTGTATTTAATCAACTAGAATTCTTAAAGACATTAATTTAATAATAATTAATAATTGCTTACACTTATATAGCGCTTTTCTGGACACTCCACTCAAAGCGCTTTACAGGTAATGGGGACTCCCCTCCACCACCACCAATGTGCAGCATCCACCTTAGCCAGCCATAGTGCACCAGACACTCACCACACATCAGCTATCAGTGGGCAGGAGAGCAGAGTAAAGTAGCCAATTCATAGATGGGGATTATTAGGAGGCCATGATTGGTAAAGGCCAATGGGGAAATTTGGCCAGGATGCCGGGGTTACACCCCTACTCTTTTCGAGAAACGCCCTGGGATTTTTAATGACCACAGAGAGTCAGGACCTCGGTTTTACGTCTCATCCAAAGGATGGCGCCTGTTTACAGTATAGTATCCCCGTCACTATACTGGGGCATTAGGACTCACATGGACCACAGGGTGAGTGCCCCATGCTGGCCCCACTAACACTTCTTCCAGCAGCAACCTTGGTTTTTCCCAGGAGGTCTCTCATCCAGGTACTGACCAGGCTCACACCTGCTTAGCTTCAGTGGGTTGCCAGTTGTGAGTTGCAGGGTGATACGGCTGCTGGCAAACTTATTATTATTAAATAATAATAAGAAAATAAATTAATTAAACAAAATAATAATAATGTTAATAAGGAATAAATTATCCATCCATCAACTTTCTAACCCCTTTATCCTATACAGGGTTAAGGAGGCAGCCAAAACCTAACTCCATCCGACACAAGGCAAGATACACTATGGATGGGATGTCAGTCCACTGGAGGGAACACACAGACACAAACAAGCACACACTCACACCAGTATGTCTTAGGACTATAGGAGGAAACTGGAGCCCCCAGGGGGAAAGTACATGAACAAAGGGAGTACATACAGACTCCATGCAGATAGTATGCTAGGAATTGAGCCTTGGGCCCCAGTATAAGGCAGCAATGCTAAACACTGCACCATTGTGCCAACGCTGATACATTATATTGAATAAAGTAATCTATATAATGTTTTATATATATATAAGAAGCCAAAAGTAATTTACATACAGTATACTGTAGGAAGAGTCCTAGTTTATCTCCCACTGAAGTGTAGTACAATACATACCTATGCGACTCATAGAAGCCACTATGCACCAGCAATCCCACTACATAGCAGATCAGGTAGAGAAACGAGAAATTACTCTACCAATTGAATTAAGGGGGAAATTTAAAATTTAGCTAGTCCAGAGAGAAAGCGACATTTCGCCAGTACCCTAATTTTATGAACAAGTGCCATGGGACCAAGTAGTCAAATCCTCAATTCATCATCTTATCCAAACAAATACACTTCTTACAGAACAGGTCCACCTTCTAACATCATTTAAAGACAGACATTATCCATTTATTTTAATTAAAACTGATAATTTTTGTTCTCTATGAAATAGTCCATTTAATGACTTATAATTACGGTAAATGGCTTTGTTTTTCTCTTACATACAAAAATATACTGTACATGGAAGTTATAATTATTTATTCATTGACAGAGACCTTTCCAAGACAACAGTTAAAAATATAATTGCAATATACAGCTTATGATGGAATATTGGATGCATTATCTTAATTATATAATTAAGCTTCTTCTGTCTTTGGCTATCAATTAGAATTGCCTTGTCTAAAAGGCCACTTTAATGCTATTTGCCTTTATTCAGCCACTGTAGCATGTTGTTTAACCAAACCATTTCTTTCAAGCTGTAGCATCAAGCTTCTTTCATAAAGATGGAAATAATACTCCTATGGAAGCTTTTAACCATCAATAGAATACTCTAAGCAGTGGTAAATGACGTGCAGTTGTCACAATCTAAACAGAGCAACAAAACAACAAAAAAAAAACTTTTCACTGTTCTGCAGCAGCTGTGCTAACATTACTATTATTGTACAGCTAAATACAGGTAATACATATTCAAGTCAAATATGTTGTCTACTATATTTTTAATGAATGAGCCTGGAATGCCTAAGTTATTATGTTGCTTAAGTGAAGTTTTCATCTGCTGAATTCTATAATGCTGTGTTTCATTTTTAAAAGATGTGTTGTTTCTCTTCCTTTGAACAGGGAAAATAAATATAATAATGGAATTTTCAAAAGTCTGCGACTGCTATTGAAATGTAATAACTCTCAGCTTGTCCATATTGGACAGAGTGTCTTTATTTCCACAGCTAACTATAATTATATACTGTTAGACAAAACAGCCCATTGGTATAAATCATTATATTTAATTACAGTGCTGATTTAGTCAGAGCACAGCACAGATGCACTTACTCCACTGAATTCCTCTTATTGCAATGTACAGTAATTTGCGACACAGAAATGCATTGTACTTTAAACAAATAAAAACATCTTTTTAAAATGGGTCATACATTAAAGATTCACTACTTTGATGTGGTGCTGTTTGTACAGTTCAGTTCTTCCCCCACCCTCACTGTCCGACTCATTCACAGGTTGTTGTGTATCTTAATTGTCACATCTAGTTTTAGTATTCCTTTCTGTGGGAAGCTCACTTATACAGTATGTCCTACTAATGTATGTTTCCTCTCAAAACAATTATAAAAAGAAACATTGGTTGACACCCTTAAACAAATTATCGCCTCTTTTTCTCCATTAAATACCTGCTTTCATATTTTCTCTACAAACGAAGAATAAAACAACTGCCAAATATCTATTTATGACACCTAAACATATGTAGGCTACTGGGCCATAACTGTACACATACACTGTAAATATATGTTATACTGTATGTTTAATATTTAGTTTTGTCTAAATTCTGAAACGGTTCTGTTACAGCTATCAATACCCACAATTTAGACTGCAAAAGAGCCTCCCAGGGATGGATTTTAAAATGCAACTGCAGGACTCTAGCTTTGCCTGAACTGCTGAACTGTGAACTTCATAGTTGGGCTCCCCAACTTTTGCACTCATGTTAGTGACCAACATCCCATACTGAATTAGTTCAGGTGGGTAGCTGCATCAGCATGCGTAGGCTGCAAAGGAAGAAGTAATAGGTTTATTCCATGCTGAAAAAAAGAAGAAAGAGAACACAACATTTCGGCCGTGGAGCCTTCTTCAGGTGTGATACTGTATGTATGCTTGTAGTAGGTCACATACATAACGTTTCAGCTAATGAGATCAGAAATAGCACAAACTCCTGTCAATATGAGCTTTATGAATATATTGTCACACAAACCATGGATGAAAAGGTTTATAGCTACAGTATTATCTACTGTGTTTCTGAAGTCTGACTTTTAGGATCCCCATGACTCCCCAGATATTTAAAGTAGCACTCTTCCGGACTTCAATATTATCAAGAACAATCATTCATAAATGAGGAAACTTTATAGCTACTTTTCTCTCTATATCCAACAATATAATGTTCAGTAAAAAAAAGCCTTATGTTTCAACAGCACCAATATGATTGTTCTTAGAAACACGACTGGATGTACATATCTGTGCTGAGAAAAGAGAAACCACGTTTGTTTTTTATTAAAATGTTTCCCCAGATTTAAGCAAAACAATGTGAAACATTTTAACGTTTGCTTCTTGTTTTTATTTTAGCAAATATAAGCAATATTCTGTACTGTAGGTTTAATCACAAAGGGAAAAAACGACACTGTGCATTCCCAAGGAATAGAGAAATCGTGATGGGCTACCCAACTTCACAAAAGAATAAATAATCTGGGCATTCACTGTAAGAAAAAGTATAATTTCTGAAATCAATTAAATCACCAGTCTCTCCATTTGGAAGGGCGCTACTTTTCTCGTATAGTCGGACATCACTGTAGCACTTTATTAATGTACGGATTTTTTTTTCCATCGTCACAGCAACTGGTCTTTTATAATCCGAATTTACTGCGTTCAACTCACTGTTGCCATAAAATTAAATAAACACCTGGTCAACCTGGAAAAGTAGCTGAGCACCTGTGCTTGACAACCTTCTGACCTGAAAGCATCAACTTTGCTTCGAGAACTTCTTAATTCTGTTTACACAACTTGCGTTCAGCCGACTAAAGGAATCGGAATTCTATATCTACAAACCGCAACAATGATCAGATCGTTTCAAGAGAAATTTCTTCATTGCCCACGTATTTAGAGCTATTTAGGGTAATTTAAGTGAAATTCTTAAGAGTCTTAAGAACTACTCTGGATTCTTCTGATTATGCGTATTGTAAAGTTTTAAAAGTACATTTGTGCAAACACCATTGTAAACCTTTATTCAACGTCAAGCATTTATAAACGAAATCACCAGTTTCTTTAAATGCTCTTAGAACAACCGGAATTATATGGGTTTATGAACTGCTAAATACAATTTTTAGTGCAGTAATCCTAACCAACAAGATGAAAGTGCACGGCAGCCTTTAATTGAGTTACGCGCGCTGCGATCCTGAGCAGACTAATCAGTACCACCAAATGACACTAATGTATATTTTAGTTTCTCTGTAATGCATTTCTATCTGTCTACAATCACTGTCATTTCACCAAGCACATCAAGCAAGTCATAAGTAAAAGAATTACATTAGGCTCATGTTGGTCAATTGACAAAAATACCCTTAATAAATCAGAAACTAGTTTAAAAATCTAGTGACAAATCTACGCCTACAAATATACGCATGCTGCAAAATTCTATGAAATTCTTTTGGTATGCAGAGAAACCAGTGCTGAAGTGCTTAACATACTTTTCTTAAAAAAAATAACCCTGTTTAAATAAATATTTTAACGTCAATGATATAAAAGGTAAGATTATTAGTAGGACAATTGATTTCACTGCATTATTATTTTAAACATTTACCTGTAATTGGGAATTCTGGCAGCGATTTCACGGGTCCTATCTGTCTAAGTTCAAAAACTTTTCGAACTTCATCGCAGCTGGTTGGACTTTCCAGACTGAGTCCAAAAAAAACAGCCAGCACCAGACAGCAAAACAACCTTCTCGGTCCCATTTTGTTACTATAGAAGGATCAAGTCCTACATTAACGCATGAGTATCATAAAACCAAAATTTTCGGCAGGTAACCCTTCAGCCTTCCTGTCTTCTTTTCAATATTTCATTAACAAGGTGTTATTTCTTTATTCTTGTCGGCATCTGGAATTGAAAAGTAAAAGAGATCGCCTAAAGGTTCCCACTAGTCTCTAGCGTCACTGTGTTGATGTATATTCTTGCACTGAGTTCAGATTTGTTTGAGAAGGGCCCGAGTCAAACAGTTCTTTCAAAGACGGCGTGCTCTCTTTCGTTGCTATACAGAAGAGTTGGCGTCAGTGAAGAAAGGGCGGAATCTTTACTATGTACCTCTACTCGCTTTTCCGATTTTGGAGATCAGAGCCACCAGGCGGACACATTTTCAGGATTAACATTTCGTATATTCACTAGATAGTCCCTTTTCATTTGACGAATGACCGGCGTTTGTGTTTTATTACGTTTGTCTCACTATAAAATTGGTTGTGAAAATAGCCTTCGATGTTGTTGTTTCGAATGCGTAGTTGGACATGAATTTTACTGGTCAAATAATAAATGTATTTTAAACAGAATTATACTTTATTATATATGGAAAGGTTTAAACGATGTATTCAAATCCCCTGTTTTGCTGGTTTGTATAAACGCACACAAAACCTGTAAAACAATAATAATTAGCATGCATGTTTTAATACGGAGCGCGCAAAACACTAGTATTATTCCGTATAAGAATATCGAAATGTCTAATTGTAACATTTTTTACAACTATGTATTCAGTAGTTAATGCGTAATCTACATTTATACATTTAGAGAAACTATTTTATTTTGTACCAAGATTTTATTGTTGAAGTCGTCTGCAAATAAATGATTAATAATAGAAAATCAGAAAATGATATCAAGGAGTGGAAACCGTGCTCAAAATCATGTTTTAATCTCTGAAGTCTCAAGATCACGTGCCCGATTAGAAAAATAATTTCAAAGTGGTGTGATAGCGCCATCTATTGGTTAAAGGCGGTCTTACTGCGCGTGTGAGTAGTGCTATTATGACCACCACCGCAATATCAGTACTAAACAGCTATAAAAAAATATTAAGGAACAAGTAATAGGTTTATTCCATGCTGAAAAAAAGAAGAAAGAGAACACAACGTTTCGGCCGTGGAGCCTTCTTCAGGTGTGAAGAAGGCCACCTGAAGAAGGCTCCACGGCCGAAACGTTGTGTTCTCTTTCTTCTTTTTTTCAGCATGGAATAAACCTATTACTTGTTCCTTTGCAGCCTACGCATGCTGACGCAGCTACCCACATAAAAAAATATTGGTGACAAAATTAGGTTTGCATGTACTTTTCAATGTTTATAGCATTGTTATACTGCATAATAGTGTATATCATCGTTTTTACACTCAAATGCACTCAGAACACAGCATCTTATTATTTTAGAAATGATGGTTTAATGGTTAATTTTAATGCAGATGTACCATATTAGAAACTGAACATAGTATTAGACCATATAGGTTTACTGAAGAACTATGATTTTGTGCTCTGAAGGCCACATTAGCAATCGTCAATTTTGTTGTGCTCTCCAGAACACTTCCTGTATCACATCTATTTTGTACTTACTGTATGTGCATATAATGAACATTTCTATTTCAGACTGAAGTGTTCTCCAATTGAAAAAGTCATTTTAAAATCTCTGTTAACAAACCACACGTCTGATCTTCTTCTTCTATAAAACAACATGCCTGTAGATAGACTTAAAAGGTGACAAAAAAGGTTCAGCATTTAGTAAGTCTAGCCTCACTGGCATTTCTTAAAATTGAAATATTTGAATTTAATGAGTTGATTTTTCATAATGGACCTTCATATTTTCAGATGTGCCACTGAACAGTTATTAATAGTACCCCTGGAAAAGTCATTATCAGAATATGCCTCATCCTGGAGATCAAAGGGTAAGATGAAAGCATGTTATATGGTGTACAGAGCCCAAAGACCAAATGAAAATCTAAAATGCTATGGATATACAGTAAGATAGATTTTAAAAGTAAAAAAAAATATTTGTACATGCATACTTTCTCTAATCAAATATACATCAAACTCTCAAAAATAATAGTATGCCTACCTCATAACTACCCTCCCATTTTCTAAACTGCATATCCAGTGCAGGGTTTCTTGGGTTCCTAGAGTTAGCCTAACCTGTAACTAAGCACTGTGCCACTTGTCTACCTTATAGTACATTCTTATTCTTAGATTCTGAGGAAAAATGCTAAAATTCACAGGAAAGATCTATCAATTTGTATTGAAGTACCAGTGTTTTAGGTCAGTTTGCCAGGAAAGGTTCTGGTTCCCCGCAATCCTGAATTAGGAGAGTATACAAAAGCTGTTTTAGGTCAACTGATATTACTTTTTGTTCTAGTGATTTAAAAATAGATATCTTCATAGTCTTATAATGGCAACTAATAAACAATAACAACTTCTTTAATTCCATCTGAAATATAGAAATAGTTCCGGAAAAAGACAAAGCTACAAGTTTTGGATCATTGGACGCCCTGAAGAAAACAATGTTAACATTCCATATGCAACAGTAATACCTACTAGGTAATCTATACTTAGTTTGGAGAACCATTGGTAAATAATATGCCAAACTAGAAAATTAGGAAAACATTCTCACATCTTTAACTGGAATCTAAATCATTATTCTCAATTTTGAAATAGGAATTGTAAAAATCTAAAGAAAATTAACCAAATGTTAAATTTATCTTGCAATAGAATTTAATCAATATTGTGGCAACTAAAGGTATTAGTTATTAGGTGTTAGTTCAGAAACTTAAACATGTGAGAAGCATCTACAAACTGAAAACATCCAACTGTACGTTTTTATCTTCTAAGAAAAAATAATGGCACATAAACCAAATTTAACTACTGTAAATGTGTTTATATTTATGTTCAGGTATTCTGTCATTGATCTAAATGACAAACAACAAAAGATGAATAAATGAGAAAAAAAAACTTTCTAAACCACCTTAATGAGTTTTTGATGAAGTAATACAACTAACAGACCTTTTTGTTTTTTGCAAAAAAGAGGTTAAAACCATACATGCATTTATTCTACATGCATGCCTATTTTTGGAAAAACCCACCAAAGTCAACCTGAAAATTGTGCTGCATCACTCAGGATATACATGTTTTATGTTTTTCCATCAGCAGATTAGAGTGATGGCAGTTGCAACCACAATTTTCAGATACATTCATAAATTCATGATGGAAAACACCATTTCTTGTTCTTTATTAAATAGGGTATCTATGTTACTAATTGTATTTTCAATTCTTTTTAGTCTGATGGCATATTAAAAAATGTTGCCTGCAATTTAATGATGTTCAAAAGCAATTATGTGGGATTACATAAAGTCATTTATTATATGACAAGGTTTTTGTATATATATGGGCCTGTTACTTCTCATTATCTAGATGATTCATGTGAATGAGCACCAAACATTATCCAAAGCATACAACTCAACCAGTGCCTGGCATCTACACAGAACTTCAAAAATAATGTAACATTAAACTAGCTCTCATCTAATTTCCTGCTTTATTTTTTAACAATAGTAACCACTACGCAATTTATAAATTGAGACAATTTCTTAATGATGCACGACCATAAAGAGAACATTTAACTTTGCACACTGGCACAGATAATTTGTATTCTGAATTCCATACCTTTCCAGGCCTTATTTTCAAGACTAAAAATATTTCTAGATTCTAGATAAGACTGAATGATTTGTCTTAAGGTAATCATAAAATCTTTTATACTGTATTTAGCACCAACAATGGTTGAAAAACAAATGCACAGCTTCAGTTCTGTCTAACAAAATCTCAAGTCTTTCCCAGGGCTTCATTAAAGAACGCTGAACAACATGCAGTTCAGAAAAAGTTTACAGAAAAGTGCAAGGGAAGCAGTTTCAAATTTTCATCAAGGGTTTGTTTTAAACAAACAAGAGAATATTCTTATAATCAAATGCCAATGCACAATCCCATGAAGGTATAACCCTTTAAGCATTTAAAAAACTGAATCCATATAATCAGTATCTAATTTACTATGCCTAAACTGAAAACAGTATTAAAATCAACATTGCACTTCATTGTTGTCAGCCATAGTCATACACTAAAGATAACTTTACTCACAATCGCCCAGTAATAGCAAGAAATAGCTAAAGGTTTGGGTAGTGATAATGCAGGAAAATCCTTACATCAACATTCCTCTGCCAGCTTACACACATGACCGTTTTACACCATTATGATTTACTACAGACGGATGTCTCGACTGTTGGCTACATTATATAAACAAAGCCAAAGAGTTTGTCTAGATTGCAAACTCCTTATCAATTCTGAAACAGATTAAAGTTATAAACCACTACAATTGGAGAAAAGGAAATATATCCAATACCGACATGGTAGTCTTATTTCACCTAATTTTGATTCTATGAATGGTACCTTAAAGTGTGACTGGCTTAGCCTTTTTTTCTGAATAAGAATAGCTTTTGGTATCACTTCACTTATGGAATATCTAAATTGTTACATTTTTTCCATAAAGTAGGGGTTTCAGATATTAGAACTTCTCATTAACTTCCTTCCATAAATAAGATCTTTTAAATTTAAAACTTAATTTTCAATTACATTTTCCCCTCTCACAATGCTCCAAGCTGGTGTACCTTGGAGATTAATACGAGGACTAACAAAAAATCAACAAAAAGTAGTTTAGTATTGCAACAAGATGTTTCCCCAAATACAACTCTTACTCCAAAATAATATTTCTGAAGTTATTCCTTCTGCTGTTAAGCATGAGCACTCTGAAATATTTCCATCAAAGTGCATCAAAACAAATGAGGATTCTTTTGATACCCATCTGACAATATGATCCTATGAACTGTGGTAAAGAAACAACTTCAAATTCACATAAGTATTTCATAGGGATCAAAAGACCATATGCATGTGCATGTTACAAGCAAGGTTGTGCACTCATTGTAAAGCACCAGAATGTTTCAGGGTTTTTGAAATAGGGTTATTCAGTTTTAAACTCCAGGTCCATGGGCCCAATACCTACTTCTGTTCTGTGACTGTTCCAATAACACTAAAACAGGCAAACAACATTGAGATGAATATTTTAAAATAGTGGGTTAACGGTCACAGAAATTGATTACATGAAATGTCTATCTAATCCATGGTACCTTTATAAACATCCTCTCTAAATCAATTTCAAAATACTGACCAAGTTTCTGACCAAGTCATGCTTTTTGGGCACCTTTAAAAAACATTCAAACTGAAGCCTAAAACCAGTTAAAAAGACAGTTAAAAAAACTGACTTGTCACTAAAGAAAGAACAGAGAATCAATGTTTTCCCCCAGTAACTTTAAAGACCACATTCAAGCCACGGAGAGATGGTTTCTTACCTTAGCATGACTTTTCAAGGCAAAACTAGTTTCTCCTTTTCCATGCTCATTAAGGATATTTTAACCTATTTGATCTAAA